TAACTCATACGATAGGTTGTGACTACGATTATCTCTATCTTTCTGTCTCACTCTCCCTCACTAGTGTCTCACTCTCCCTCGCCCTCACTCGCTCTCGTTCTCCCTCCCTTGCTCTCGTTCTCGCTCTCCTCTCTCTCTCCTCTCGCTCTGCCTCCCTCTTCCTCTCTCTCTCCTTCCTCTGTGTACTGGTTTACGTCTTCGTATGACGGCCCGAGTGTTAACATCTTATATGATCGGTATAGCATCTGTTATTACCATAGAAAGAGCGGAGATTGCACGGTTAGCTCAGTGGTAGTAGCGGAGTGCGCGGTCGAGATAGATACAAGGCGAGTTATTACAATGAGGTCATTACAATGGCTCTGGCCCTTAACATTTGAGTACCAAAGCCCGTAGCGCCAGAACATAGGTGTTAGGTAAAATAGAGAAGTATATATTATTATTATTATTAGTAATAGTAGTATTTTTATAATAATAATAATAATAATAATAATAATAATAATAATAATAATAAAAAGTCATGAGGACTAAAGTCAGTCCTTACACCCATCACATCCTTACACCATCATACAGAAACAAATGGGCAAAGTTTCTTTCACCCTGAATGCCCCTGTTACCTAGCAGTAAATAGGTACCTGGGAGTTAGTCAGCTGTCACGGGCTGCTTCCTGGGGTGTGTGTGTGGTGTGGAAAAAAAAAAAAAGTAGTTAGTAAACAGTTGATTGACAGTTGAGAGGCGAGCCGAAAGAGCAAAGCTCAATCCCCGTAAAAAACACAACTAGTAAACACAGCTATACACACATCTCTACAATATCACATTAAAAAGAACAAAAAAAAGTATTTTGTATAGTGTCTTCCTTCTTTTCTAGCGCCATAAGGTTCAACTCATTTAACCGTTCTTCATTCCACGTGGTTACGAAACAGTTCTCCTGAGCAAACTTCTTGAACTTGTATAGTTTCTCTATGTGTTTCTGGAGGTGGAGTTGACGCTTGGGGCGGCGCTCAACTTGCACATCCCCGTCAGGATGTTGTCTGTGGGTGTCTTGTTGCCCCCAACTTCTGTACTTCTCTGTGTCGCGCCTTGTATGATGATACTTTCACTTTAAAGTATTACTTTCTTATTTTGGAACGAGCCTTTTTTTGACTTATGTCTGTACCTTATCGAGTTTTGTTTGATTTGTTTTCCATTTATTTATTTTTTTATTTAGGCAAAGGTACATACATAAAGAGATTTTACAAAGTTTGTTGGCTTTATAGATAGAGCTAGTACATACAATGCCTAAAGCCACTATTACGCAAAGCGTTTCGGGCAGGAAAAAACACTAATGACTAAAGCTTAAAACTAATGGGTAAAAAGAAAAAAATGCGTTGAGTACAAATAAAAATAGAGGTAAAAGAGGGGGGAACATTGTTGAAAAAGCAGCACAAATACATTTACAAATTATTACAGAAAATTACATTCAAACAGCGTTGATTTGAAAAACAAAAAAAACAAAAAACATACATGGGTTGACAATAGAGGGGTAAGGTAGGTTACAGGGAATTTATTAGGTATAGCTTCGTTTTTAACTTAAACTGGTTGAGAGAGGTACAGTCTTTAACATGGTTGGGAAGGTCATTCCACATTCTGGGCCCCTTGATTTGTAGAGCATTTCTGGTTTGATTAAGTCGTACTCTAGGAATATCAAAACTGTATTTATTTCTGGTGTGGTGCTCATGGCTTCTGTTACAACCTTCTATGAAGCTTTTGAGATCAGGATTGGCATTATAGTTTAGCGTTTTATATATGTATAATACACATGAGAGAATGTGCAGTGACTTAATGTCTAACATATTCAGAGATTTGAGTAGGGGTACCGAGTGATGTCTGGGGCCAGAATTGGATATTGTCCTAATAGCAGCTTTGTGTTGAGTAATTAGAGGACGTAAGTGATTTTGGGTAGTAGAGCCCCAAGCACAAATACCATAGTTGAGATATGGATAGATAAGGGAGTAATAGAGAGTCACCAGGGCATTTAGACGCCAGAAAGCCTGTTAGGCTAATCAAGATCACCTAGATCACATATTCAAGGGACCCGGAACGAAAATTCCGAGGGTTCGTTCTCGACGCACAATCGAGAATTCGGGGTTCGAATCCTGGGCGGAACAGAAGTAGTTGGGCGCATTTCCTTTCTTATAATGGCTCTCTTCACCTAATAGTAAGTAGGTACTCGGGAGTTAGTCAGTTTGTTGTGGGAGGGGGGGGGGGCGGTGCATCTTGGGCGGGGTCAGTAATTGGGCCGGGGGAAGGGGGGGGGTTCGATAAAAGCCAAAACATGTATGAATTCACTCTGGCTTCCTGTCCCCCGACGCCATTAATTATAACCGCATCAACGTAAGAACGTGTAATTACAGAGGTATTTATATAGTGTGATTTGTACGGGAGAGGAAGCTAGTGAGTCACTTGTCTGGTGACAGTTTAGGTGTCGTGGTGGGGGGGGGGGGGGGGAGTACGTGAGTGTTTTAGTTGTGCCGGCTATTTGCCCAACAGTCTCTGTCAAAGTTTCTTTATCTTCTTCCCCTGCACACTCCCCCCCCCCCACTCTCTCTCTCTTTGCCCAACAGTCTCTGTCAAAGTTTCTTTATCTTCTTCCCCTGCACACTCCCCCCCCCCCCACTCTCTCTCTCTCTCTCTCTCTCTTTGCCCAACAGTCTCTGTCAAAGTTTCTTTATCTTCTTCCCCTGCACACTCCCCCCCCCCCCCACACTCACACACACACACACACACACACACACACACACACACACACACACACACACACACACACACACTCTCTCTCTCTCTCTCTCTCTCTCTCTCTCTCTCTCTCTCTCTCTCTCTCTCTCTCTCTCTCTCTCTCTCTCTCTCTTTCTCTCTTTCTCTCTTTCTTTCTCTCTTTCTTTCTCTCTTTCTTTCTTTCTCTCTTTCTTTCTTTCTCTCTTTCTTTCTCTCTTTCTTTCTTTCTCTCTTTCTTTCTTTCTTCCTTTCTTTCTTTCTTTCTTTCTTTCCCTCCCTTAACCCAGGAACACAATGCTTTCTGTGTGAATTGTTCTGTTGGCAGCATTTACCCACAGTTCCTATTACGCGGTGCTGGGAACGTTCTACCTGTCACAGGAACCACGTTAATGGCACTCGCTCCACCTGGCGGACACATATAGGCCATCCGTGACACACGTGACACACATACCACCGGGGGAGGGCGATGACACATATATACCAGCTGGAATGCTGTCAAGGCTGCCATAGTATGGCATACTGCAGACTCTGACACACCTGGTCTGAGAAGCGATGCTCTGTCTTCTGGCTAAGACCACCACTCGTGACTTGCGAGGTACACCCTATGGTGTTGTGCCCTCCCCCCCCCACCCGTCAGGCTTGGAGGGGAGGGGGTGGGGGCCGGGGACATGTGCAGGCCGGGAGGTGGAGGAGGGGTGATGCAATATCTTAATATTTCTTAGATTCCCACCAGTCATTGCTTCTTACTCCATTGTCACTATACGCCTTCTTCCTCTCTGTCTCTATGGCTTAATTAAGACTGAGGGAAGTTAAAAGCTCTAAGCCTAATAGTTAGCCCCTCCCCCCCCCCAAGTTCAAGTTCAAGTATGTTTATTGAGATAAGCAATAAATACATCTCAAAGGGATAGAGTAGCTTAGGGTATTTCTCCCCCTTCCCCCCCCCCCTCTCGCCTCCATCCCTCCCTCCCTCACCTCTAATTCTTACCTACAACTTCTCTCCACCTACCCCATTAACAAAATGCCACCTTCTTAAATTATCCTTAACCACCGACATTTCCTTTCACTCTACCATTTATTATATACATACACATACATATACATAAGGATAAGATGGAAAGTAATGTGCAATGACGCACAATGTGGTTAAAACCACAGAGATGAAACATCGAATATTTCTGTCTTCAAGTACTACTAAGTACGCGAGACTGTCGAAATTTCTCGATATTGAGATTAAAATTTACCTGAGGTCCACTAATACTAGTTGCCTTGACGAGGACAGGAAGCCGGCGGCTTGTCGTATGTCTCCCCCCCCCCCCCCCATTTGCCCTGATGATCTTTTCCAGTTGAATTTTAAAATTTAAGGAAAAGCATCTGTTCTCAGTCCTACATTGTGCCTTGTTGAGCTTGAAGCCATTGCTCCTTGTTCGGATTACATCTGACCTTTTGAAGAAATTGTCTGGATCAACATCCTCCATTTGTTCAGTACCTTAAAAGTTTCAATGAGATCCGCCCTATCATGCCAGGTTTGCAGTGTTGTTAGCTCCGTGGTCCTCAACCGTTCCTGATACGAGAGTTGACTTAACTCTGGAATAATTTTTGTTTTCCGGTGTTGCATCTTCTCCAGAGCAACTATGTCTTTCTGAAGATGAGGTCTCCATGCCTGAATGCAATAATCCAGGCGGGGGCGCACCACAGACTTATATAACTGCATGACTACCTTCTTTTCTTTGAAGGTAAAGGTACGCTTGATTATTTCTAGGGTTTGGTTAGCCTTTTTTACTGCCACTACCATTTGTGCAACTTTTAGTGAATGATGAATTTTGACTCCAAGGTCCCTTTCTTCAGCAACAGCTGCAAGGTGTTAAGTTGGTAGTTGCCTATGGATTATTATGCCCCCACATGCAAGGTTTTGCATTTAATAGTATTTGCCAGTCTTTTGACCATTTGTGGAGTTCATGAATATCTCTTTGTAAGGTCTCAATATCATTTTCACTTTCCACTTTACCATAAATCTTAGTGTCAGCTTCAAATTTGATGATGTGGGTTGTAATATTCTCATTTATGTCATTGATGTATATGACAAAAAAAGGTTGGCCCCAAAATAGACCCCGGTGGTACCCCACTTACCAAATTTCTCCAAATATTCAGTTATATTTATGAGTATGTCGGTTTGTGGGTTTTAATTACCTATGATATATTTTAAATAAATTATATTTACCGCTAATGTTTCCTTGTGTGAATGGGAGCAGATGTCTCGTGGAAGGTAGAGGCCAACGTACAGTTTCTGACGCAGTTGTGCTACCTTCTGGAGGAGCACCAAGCAGGAGCGTTGGCAGCAGCAGGAGGAGTTAGAGCAGGAGGCGGCCACCCCGGCAGCAGTACCAGCAAGTGGAGCTCCGAGCAGTGCCTGTCCCAGCTGCGCCTCTCGTGCGGCCTGATGCTGACGGAGGCGCTGGTGGAGGGCGTGAGACTCGGGCTGGACAAGTCCAACTTGACCGAGTGCCTGGCAGCCACGTACTCTCTCACCCCGGCACTGGTGGCCTCTGCTGCGCCGCCTAAGATCAGAGTTAGGCACTACATTCCTCGTGAGTTGGCACTAATGGCAGTTGACAGCACCTAACACGTGTTGTGCAGTGAAACTAACGAGAACTAACGTGTCCTGCAGAGGAAGTAACGAGAACTAACATGTCCTGCACAGGAACTAACAGAAGCTAAAAGATATATCTTGGCATTTAGAGAAGTAAACTAAGAGTTAATGGAAATTGACGTAATGAACAATTAACCAGAACTAAAGCAAAACAACAATTGCCAATGAGACAGCCTGTGTTTACTATAGAGCAAACTACTAGAACCTTCGAGGAATTAACCTCAACCTACAAAACAATCAACTAACCTTTAGCCTATTATAGAAATAGAGTACAGACAACTCATCATCCTGTGTTACCATTAAACTAATATTTCTTTGTACAAAATTAACTCCACAAATTAATTTAATAAACATATTAATTATGGACATGATATATTTACTGATATATATATTTTTCTTTTGTTCTTGTTTCTTTTGTGATATTGTAATATCTGTACAATACTAATTTGATCTGCTGAGATGAAAGGTTAATTATTCTCAATATATAAAACGTGTGAGAGTGCAGTTTGTTAGTTTAGTTCATTTATTATGTACCCCATACCCATCTTGTGGGCGGTAGTGGAAGGGTTACAGAGGCACATAATGGGCTCAAGGACTGACCCCCACAATTCATATAGCTAAGCAAGTTACAATCTTGATGAGCTAGTTACAAAATTCAATATATGTCGTCACATCGTCAATGGGTTTGAGATCATCCAAAAGTACAGTTTCTAAATTAAGCAACTGACATATGTGGAGAGCTAGAGTCACAGTTGATATGTTTGTCCTGCACACCGCCCCCCATCCAGTGGGCAGCGGTGGTAGTAACTAAGTGAGAGTGCAGAAATAGCATTTTATATACGACTTAAGGTCACATATTTACTTCCATACTGTTGCTTCTATAGTTTCTTCTATTGTTAATACTAATACCACTGTAAAATACTTTTACTATTACTGCTAAACTAGGAATGCTATTATTACTACTATTACTATTGTAAATACCTTTACTATTACTGCTTCACTATATATACTATTATTACTACTGTAAATACCGTTACTGCTTTACTATAAATACTTGTTACTACTACTACTATAAATACTATTACTACTATAAATATTATTACTACTATACTACTACTGCTATAAATACTATTATTACTACAGTACTATAAATACTATTGCTACTACTACTACTACTACTATAAATACTATTAATTGATTGTAACAAAAAGGAGGCCTAGTCGAGGACCCAGTGGCAGGGACGCTAAGCCCCGAAATCATCTCAAGATAACATCAAGACACTACTGTAAATACTATTACTGCTACTACAATAAATTCTATTACTACTACTATTACTGCTATAAATACTATTATTACTACTACTACTATAAATACTCTTACTACTACTACTATAAATACTATTACTACTACTACTACTATAAATACTACTGCTATAAATACTATTATTACTATTTATTTATTTATTTATTTATTTATTTATTTATATACAAGAAGGTACATTGGGTTTGTGAGGATACATAGCATGGTATTTACAATCTTGTAAAGCCACTAGTACGTGCAGCGTTTCGGGCAGGTCCTTAATCTAACAGATAATTTTAAGTAGGTAAATTCTAGTAGAATTAATAAAATGATAATAGATACATTGCAAGAAAGAAAATGAGATGGGAGAGATTAGTAGGCATATTAAAGAACATTGGTAGCTCTGATTGATTGCATTGACAGCTTGATTGGTAATTTAGACAAGATTAATAGGCACCATACAGCAAATTGATAGCACATATAAGAAGACAGCAATGATCACAATGGTAAAGTTGTTTGGATTAGGTACAAAAAGATTGGGAGATTGGGTAGCACTAGATACAGTGCAATTTTAAAGTAACAAGGTAGGAAACTATGAAGATGAAATTAGGTACTTTTTAGTTTTGTTTTTGAATGACGCAACAGTTGGACAGCTTTTCAATTCATTAGGGAGTGAGTTCCATAGATTAGGTTCCTTTATTTGCATAGAGTGTTTACACAGATTAAGTTTGACTGGGATATCAAAGAGATATTTATTTCTGGTGTGGTAATTATGGGTCCTATTACATCTGTCCAGAGAGAGTTTCAGAGCAGGGTTTGCATTTAAGAACAGGGTTTTGTAAATGTAGTTGACACAAGAGAATGTGTGGAGTGAGTTTATGTTTAGCATGTTTAGGGATTTAAACAAGGGGGCTGAGTGTTGTCTGAAAGCAGAATTCGTTATTATTCTAATAGCAGATTTTTGCTGGGTGATGATGGACTTGAGGTGGTTTGCAGTGGTTGAACCCCATGCACAGATACCATAATTAAGATAGGGATAGATTAGTGCATAATATAGTGAGATGAGAGCAGAGTTAGGTACATAATATCTGATTTTGGAGAGTATACCAACTGTTTTAGAGACTTTCTTAGTTAGTGTTGTATGTGGGTCCTGAAGTTGAGTCTCTTGTCTAGGAATAGGCCAAGAAACTTTCCATCATTTGTATTACTAATGTTAACATTGTCTATCTGCAGCTGAATTGAATTTGTTGATTTGCTTCCAAATAAGATGTAGTAGGTCTTTTTTATGTTAAGTGTTAGTTTGTTGGCTGACATCCATAAGTGGATTTTTTTTAGTTCATTATTAACAACATTCTTTAGTGTATGTGGATTGGGGTTTGAGTAGATGAGGGTAGTATCATCAGCAAACAATATAGGTTTAAGAATGTTAGAGACATTCTACTACTATAAATACTATTACTACTACTACTACTACTGTTATAAATACTATTACTACTACTACTACTATAAATATTATTACTACTACTACTACTACTGCTATAAATACTATTACTACTACTAATACTACTGCTACTGCTGCTGCTATAAATACTGTTACAGTACTACTGTAACTGGTAATATTACTAAAATACTACTACTACTGCTATAAATACTATTATTGCTATAAATACCATTATTGCTATAAATACCATTATTGCTATAAATAATATTACTACTACTACTACTATAAATACTATTACTGCTATAAATAATGTTACTACAACTATAAATACTATTACTACTACAACTATAAATATTATTATTATTACTACTACTACTATAAATATTATTACTACTACTACTACTACTATTAATACTATTACTACTACAACTGCTATAAATACTGTTAATACTACTACTACTATAAATACTATTACTACTACTACTATAAATACTATTATTACTACTTCTACAACTATTAATAATATTACTACTGCTGCTGCTGTAAATACTACAACAGCAATACTGTAGTAGTAAATACTACTAAATACTGCTTTTTCAGCCATGTTCCCCCCCTTTTTTATCTCTATTTTTATTTGTTCTCAACACATTTTATTCCTTATACTCAATTAGTATTAAGCTTTAGTCATTAATGTTTTTCATGCCCGAAATGCTTTGCGTAATAGTGGCTTTAGGCATTGTATGTACTAGCTCTATCTATAAATCCATCAATCTTTGTAAAATCTCTTGTATGTATGTACCTTACCTAAATAAACATTTATTTATTTATTTATTTATTACTATTACTACTACCACTACTGTTAATACAATTACTACTACTATTACTATAAAAACTATTAATACTACTACTATTATAAATAATATTACTACTACAGTACTACTATAGTATTACTATTACTACTACTGCTATAAATACTATTACTGTACTACTAATACTACTACAGTGTACTATAAATATATATATATATATATATATATATATATATATATATATATATATATATATATATATATATATATATATATATATATATATATATATATATATATATATATATATATATATATATATATATATATATATATATATATATATATATATATATATATATATATATATATATATATATATATATATATATATATATATATATATATATATATATATATATATATATATATATATATATATATATATATATATATATATATATATATATATATATATATATATATATATATATATATATATATATATATATATATATATATATATATATATATATATATATATACACACACACACTATACAAGAGTTCTTACATTTTTGTACAGCCACTAGCACGTATAGCATTTCGGGCAAGTCCTTAATCCTAATTTTCACATACAAATTCCCAGGAAGCAGCCCGTGGCAGCTGTCTAACCCCCAGGTAGAGTACCTATTTATTGCTAAGTGAACAGGTGCCTCCGGGTAAAAGAAACAACCGATTTGTTTTCGCCTCTAAGTCCTAAGGATCTGGATCGAACCCAGATCCTTAGGACTACGAACCCCGAGTGTTGTCCACTCAGCCGTCAGGCCCTGTAATACTATACTATTACAATAAATACTATTACTACTAATACTACTACCATAAGTTCTATTACTACTAGTACTACTACATAAATACTATTACAGTACTACTAAATTACTATTACCACTAACTATTAAAATACCATTACTACTTCCACTAGCACTATTATTACTTTTATTAGTACTATTATTACTTCTACTAGTACTACTATTACTTCTATTTGTACTACTATTACTTCTACTTGTACTACTATTACTTCTACTAGTACTACTATTACTTCTATTTGTACTACTATTACTTCTACTTGTACTACTATTACTTCTACTAGTACTACTATTACTTCTATTTGTACTACTATTACTTCTACTTGTACTACTATTACTTCTACTAGTACTACTATTACTTCTATTTGTACTACTATTACTTCTACTTGTACTACTATTACTTCTACTAGTACTACTATTACTTCTACTTGTACTACTATTACTTCTACTAGTACTACTATTACTTCTACTTGTACTACTATTACTTCTACTAGTACTACTATTAATATTACTAATACAGTACTACTATAGCTCAGTCTACTACTACCGCAAGTATGTACTCACTGACCTACATCCCATTAGCCACCACCTACATCCCTCTTGCCCGACATACACTCCCACTATCCCCCCCCCCCCACCTATACCCACAATAGCCACTACCTACAACCCACTTTTTCCCACCTACACCCCCACTTTCCACACCTACATCCTACTCACAACGTACTTGCCCCACCTACCATGTATAAGCTTTAAGAAAATTGTAAATCTTCAGTTTATTTAGTTATAATTTCTTCTGCTAGGTGTTGCATTTTCTGCTGTTCTATCCATCATATAATTATTATCATTCTCTTTTTTTTTCTTTTTACAATTCAATTTATGCTCTGGATCTCAATTAGTATTAAGTTTTAGTCTAAGTTTTTTTTTCCACCACACCTTGCCTGAAAAGCTGTGTGTGTATTAGTGGCTTCAGGCATTGTATGTACTAGCTCTATCTATTAATCAGACATTATGTTTGTAACTCATTTTCAATGAATGCACCATTACCTGGATAAATATCTTATCTTATCTTATCTTATCTTATCTTATCTTATCTTATCGGTGCAAGTACACACCACTTGCATCCCCACTTTACCCAACTAGATCCATCCATCACCCAACTAGCCCCAACTTATGTTCCCCCTACACATCACTAGCATCCACCTACAGCAGCGTGTATGACCCCCGGTTCCACTGCCATATTTCAGAGGGTATGAGCCCCCACGTCCGTCCAGAGCGGCCCGCCCACCTCTACCCGGAGATGATGCACCCAGCCCTCAGGGAGAAGGGCCGAGCATTACCTCAACGCACCATCGACAAGCAGGCCAGGGTCTGTACCACTCGTTCTCTCTTGTTGCTTGCACATCACATGTCAGGAGTCTGTACCACTCATTCTCTCTCTTGTTGCTTGCACATGCCATGTCAGGAGTCTGTACCACACATTTTCTCTGATTGCTTGTGCAGGACATGCCAGGGGTCTATACCACTCCTTCCCTCTTGTTGCTTGTGCATGACATGCCAGGGATCTGTAACACTGCTCTCTTTTGCCTGTGCAACAACATAGGTATGTAGTCATGAGTGCATTATAGACAGGCACTCACGGGTGCACCATAGGCAGGCTTCATCAAATGCATTATAGACATGCACTCATGGGTGCTCCATAGAAAGGTACTCAAGGGTGCAACATAGATATGCACTCACGAATGCACCATATGCATGCATTTACGAGTGCATTATAGACATGTACCCACAGGTACAAACATACACTCATGGATGCATCATAGACACTCACGGGATGCACTATAGACATGCATTCACTGGTACACCACACACATGCACTCAAAGGTGCACGTGTGATGGATGTACAAACACACGTGCTGATGTGCACATCGAGGAGCGGGCAGGTGTGAGATAATCAGTGACAATGCATGGCGAGGCGTCATGCCAAGATGATGGTGGTGATGGGTATATATATACACACACACTTGACTCCTCCTCCACTACCACTAACATCACCACTACCACTACAGCCTCTGCCGCTGACCCTCACCACCATCACCTCCACCACAGCCTGTGTCGCTGATCCCACCACCATCACTTTTACAGCCTCCATTATCACCACCACTATTGGCAGCCTCTACCACTGACCCCACCATCACATTTCATCATCACCAGTAATTTATGTGAACGACATTCCCAAAGGACTGAGCTCGTACATGTCAATGTTTGCAGATGATGTAATGCTGACGAAGAATCTAAAAACAGATGTGAACCACAGTAAGTTGCAGGAGGACCTAGACAAATATCAAACAAATGATTGCTGGAATTCAATCCCAACAAGTGTAAGGCAATGAAGATGGGAAAAAGAGGAGACGAGAAGAGAGATTTGGGAGTGGATAAAGTTCCAAAACTAACACCAGAGGCACACATAAACAGGATAACATTGGCAGCATATGGGATGGTGGCAAATATAAGAACATTGTTTAAAAATCTAAATCAGGACTCCCTCAAGGCAGTCTACTCGGCATTTGTTGTACCAATACTGGAATATGCAGCATTAGCCTGGAATCCATACCGCGTGATGCATAAAACCAAAATGGAACAGTACAAAAGTTTGCAAAAAGATTGATGCTAGAGCTAAGTGTATTAAATTATGAAGTTTGGCTTATGAAACTAAATCTACCCTATAGGATAGAACAAACAGAGGGGGATATGATCACAACATACAAGATGCTAAGGAGAATAGACAAGGTGGATAAAGACACCCTCTTCAAATTGAGAGAAAGTAAGACAAAAGGACATACGGGGAGTATAATACAGATACAGATATCATTCAGGCATGATATAAGATGATATCAATGATTACAATGGTAAAGTTATATGGCTTAGGTACATAGATTGGGGAATTTGGTAACACTAGATACAGTGTGAGTTTAAAGCACTAGGTAGGAAACTATGAACTATGAGACTTTAGCAGTCTCCGTGGTGTAGTGGTAAGACACTCGCCTGGCGTTCCGCGAGCGCTATGTCATGGGTTCGTATCCTGGCCGGGGAGGATTTACTGGGCGCAATTCCTTAACTGTAGCCTCTGTTTAACGCAACAGTAAAATGTGTACTTGGTTGTAACAACGATTCTTCGCGGCAGGGGATCGTATTCCAGGGACCATAGGATTAAGGACTTGCCCGAAACGCTACGCGTACTAGTGGCTGTACAAGAATGTAACAACTCTTGTATATATCTCAAAAAAAAAAAAAAAAAAAAAAAAAAAAAAAAAAAAAAAAATGAAGATGAAATTTGGTACTTTTTGGTTTTGTTTTGAATAAGGCAAAAGTTGTACAGCTTTTCAATTCATTAGGGAGTGAGTTCCATAGATTAGGTCCCTTTATTTGCATAGAGTGTTTATGCAGATTAAGTTTAACTCTGGGGATATCAAAGAGATATTTATTTCAGGTTTGGTGATTATGGGTCCTATTACATCTGTCAAAGAAGAGTTTCAAATCAGGATTTGCATCTAGAAACAAAGTTTTATAAATAAATAAATATAAATATGTTTATTCAGGTAAGGTACATACATACAAGTGATGTTACATTAATGGATTGATATATAGATAGAGCTAGTACATACAATGCCTAAAGCCACTATTACGCAATGCGTTTCGGGCAAGAAAAACATTAATATCTAGAACTTAATACTAATTGAGCATAAAGAATAAAAAGTGTTGAAAACAAATACAAATAAAGATAAAAAAAGGGGGAACATGACTGAAAAAGCAGCACAAATACAATAGGTTGACAAACAGTGTTGATTAAAAAAAAAAAATAATAATAATAAAATAAAATAACAGACATGGGTTGACAATAAAGGAGTGAGGTGGGTTACAGGGAATATATTAGGTATTGTTTAGTTTTTATCTTAAACTGGTTGAGAGAGGTACAGTCTTTAACATGGTTGGGAAGGTCATTCCACATTCTGGGCCCCTTGATTTGTAGAGCATTTCTAGTTTGATTAAGTCGTACTCTAGGAATATCAAAACTGTATTTATTCCTGGTGTGGTGCTCATGGGTTCTGTTACAACCTTCAATGAAGCTTTTGAGGTCAGGATTGGCATTACAGTTTAGCGTTTTATATATGTATAATACACAAGAGAGAATGTGCAGTGACTTAATATCTAACATATTCAGAGATTTGAGTAAGGGTACCGAGTAAGATAAATAAAATCAGATAAATAGATAAATCAGATAAATCAGATAAATAAATAATAAGATAAATAAAATGATAAATCAGATAAATAAATGTCAGATAAATAAAATGGCAGATAAATAAAATGGTCAGATATATAAATGGCAGATAAATAAAATGGCACAAGAGAATGTGTGGAGTAAATTTATGTTTAGCATGTTTAGGGATTTAAACGGGGGGGGGGGGGGGGGGCTGTGTGTTGTCTGAAAGTAGAGTTTGTTATTGCTCAGATAACAGATGGGTGATGATGGGCTTGAGGAAGTTTGCAGTGGTTGAACCCCCCATGCACAGATACCGTATGTAAGATAGTACATACTATCCACTATATTAGAAAGGGCAGATTAGTGGTAATACGATTCATCACACAAGACAGAACAATTAACAAAGAGAGCAAAGACAAATCAGTAAGCAAGAGCAGATGTCAAATGAGAGGGAGTGGTTGAAAAGTAAAAACCCAGTTGAAATATAGGGATGAATTGTGACACTTCTTGTGTGAGAGTTCTGAGTAAGGGTAATTAACTAGAGATAGAAAAATATATACTGTAATGCATATGACTGAGAATGGGAAGTAGTGAAAGTTTCAAGAGTAGATATGATAAGCACATGAGTACATCCCACTTGCAACAGGGAACTTGCTGCTGATAGGTGATTCCCAGGAACTGAGGAGCACTAATGAAACACATATACCACACCGACCATATTTCATACTAATACAGTATGACACTTGTCTTTGTGTGAGAACTGCTTTAGTGGTATGGGGTTGCAGAAAGGTAGGAGTGTGTAAAGTCTTGCATTATACTAAGGTTCCCCATATAGAATAGTTTGTTTAATCTATCATCAACAAATGATAATACCAATAGCTACTATGGATGAAATATAAAACATGGACTTTTGTACACAAACAAAAGTACACTATTGATTACAGATCAAAAAGTCAATCAAAAGTACAGACCTTTGTACACTATTGATTTTGAAAAAGGTCTCAGGAAAAGTAACAACAAATGTGAATAAATGTATATGTAAATTCATTCTAGGAATGAACAATTACTAATGGAGTTATGTTCATGAGACTGGCACAACCAACACAAGGCTGAGCACCTTGTAATTACCTAAGTGTAGTTACCTAAGTGTAGTTACAGGATGAGAACTATGCTCGTGGTGTCCTGTCTTCCCAGCACTCTTTGTCATATAACGCTTTGAAACTACTGACGGTTTTGGCCTCCACCACCTTCTCACTTAGCTTGTTCCAACTGTCTACCACTCTGTGTGCAAAAGAAAACTTTCAAATGTTTCCTTAGCTTGAATCTGTGTCCTCTTGTTCATGAAGTTGCTAGTTTCAGGAATTCCTCTTTGTCAATTTAGTCGATTCCTGTTAGTATTTTGTAAGTGGTGATCATATCACCTCTTTTTCTAATATGTTCTACTTTTGGCATGTATTATGCTTCTAGTTTCTCCTCCTAACAGTTGTTTTCAGTTCCGGAAACCATTTTGTGGTGTGCCATTGCACCTTTTCCAGTTTATTTATGTTCTTCTTGAGATTTGGGCACCATACAACTGCTGCATATTCTAGTTTTGGTCTCACAAAAGTGTGAGAACAAACTGGTGCAGGTTTTTAAGTAAGGATATATGAAAGCCTTTTAACTGCTTGGATGACGTGATCAAGAGCGTTGCCGGTAAATAATAATAATAATGACAATAATAATAATAATATAATAATAATAATAATAATAATAATAATAATAATAATAATTATCATTATTATTATTATTATTATTATTATTATTAATATAAAATGTACATATTAAAGTGGTTGCTGCATATTATGTTGGTCATCGTACCTGAGGTAGCTGTGGAGGAAGCCATATATATGTGGTGAGGTGAGATGTGTGGGCTTGTGTCAGCCACCCCAGTACCTCCTCACGTGCTGCTCTCTCAACCTTGGAGGCCATTCCACACCTGCCATTTGTGCTTCTGTTTTGTGCCTCTGAAAGATCTGAAAGCACATTTGTAAAGACACTTGGCTGCATCTAGAGACTCCAGTGTTCTGGAGAAGCGCAGTCATTTGCAGGAAATCAGTACAATTGTGGTGTTTTGGGTAGTCACATTATTGAACTGTGAATTGTAAGTAATTGTTACATTTCAAAGCAAGATAATCTATCTCTATCTTGTGCCATACTGGGTTTAAATTTAGTGCATCAGATAACCCTTGGATAATTATATGTGCCATATGTAATGGCCTCACCAACTGTTTATAAGAACCCATTTACCAGAGTAATAACACTGTGAACCTTGGTGCAAGTATTTCTTCCCAAGATCTAGAGAATCAGACGTGGGATAAAACAGCAGCTGGAGAGACAGCGTTACCTCCCTAAAGTGACTTAGAAATACTAGGAGGCAGGTAGTCCCCAGTGGAGTGTCCTTGGGGAGAGGTTATAAGGCTTACAAGACTGCTCCCCTCCCTCCTGGACCATGGCAGAGAGGGAGTGCCCTGCTGACCGACCCACATGTTCGGCCTCTGGGAGTGGCCATCAGAGTGACATGATGGAGCATGGCATTATAGGGCACCCAACCAGTGCCACGCACACCCATTACCATCATCATGTTACCCACCAGGAGGCATGTCATCGTTACCACATCAGGACGCATAATAAACCATCCTACATAATTAACCATATCTATGCATGTTCATAGTAGAGTATCCACTAATTTCATAGTTTTTGACCTGCTCTTGTTACCCAATCTGATTCTTACACTTTATTACTAATCATTTCTAGCATAAATCATATTGGAAGATCCTGTGTATTGAGCAGTCTTTATACATAGTAGTAGGTTTAAAGGTATAAATGTGTTGTACCCTACAAACTGTCATGCTTGATATTTACAAGATACCTGGTCTAATATGTAGTTTTCCTGTATGAGAGTTGTTATATTTTTATTATTTTCTCTTCATCTCACATGTCTTGCAATATATATAATGTATAATGTAAAGAAGTTCATTCAGTTTGTTAACTTATTCATGAGTGTTTATTTTGTAATAAGAGCTAAATTATACTATTATGAAAACAGATTTAAAGAAGCAAAAGGAAACATGAAGAGCACATCGAAAAACCATCTCAAATATCCTAGAATCCAAACAATTCTCACATAACAAAAACATTAAACTCACCAAAGATAGTAATACATTGGCAGTGGATTGAGAAACTGAATTCAATACTGTAGCTTCTTTTCATCAGTTGGCATTAGCCTTGCTAGAAATATTCCAGAGAGCCAGCAAATGTTGCTACATGTCTCACCAGCAGCTATCCTAACTCTCTACTTCTTTTGTCAATCAGCCCACCAGATATTATATCTATAATTCACTCAAAACCAAAGTTGGTAACATAGTAAAATATTAACAATGATGTGCAAAAGTGCTGTTAATGCCTTTGCACCAGACATAGCTCCGTTTTTCACCAAATCTCTTTAGTCTTAAACTTTTCCCAATATACTAAAAAAAGTAATAGCAATTCAGTTCATAAAGGTAATACAGACAACATAAACAATTACAAAAGTAGTAGTGTGATATGACTCAAATTGCTGCAATTTTACTTTTCTCGACTGCAGCAATTTGAAACTTTTTTTCCGGGGATTTAAACTGCAGCGATTTAAGTCGTGACTTTTTTCCCATGGATTTCAACTGCATTGATTTGAATTGTGATTTTTTCCCAATGGATTTAAACTGCAGCGATTTGAGTCGTGATTTTTTGCTGTGAATGTTGAAAGCTGGTCTATGAGGCGTGATTTTTTCCATGGATTTCAACGGTCATACTTTGGTTCCTGATATGTGCACCAAAGGGATTAAAAGGCCGCATCCCATCATGTGTAAATTTTGTTACCTCGGTGACCCTGCACAGACATTGCTAATGGTCAATGACGTCAGTCAATCTTCATCTTTCTTGAATAAGATTGTTTTCTGATATAGTATATTTATTCCCATTTTCAATAGTTATGTTAAGGGGATTAAAAATCCGCCTTCTGTCCAGATCCATTTTCGTTACCCCAGCGAGTGATTGCTAGCTTTATAGTACCTGAAAATTTCACTCAAGGGGATTAAAAGGTCAGTCCCCGTTTGGACTGTTTTGCGTTACCCCAGCGAGTGATTATTCATCTTCTATTTCCCTTTAAATTTCACTCAATGGGATTAAAAAGCCGGTTTATGGCCCTGGTGTCTTCCGTTACCTCAGCAACCAGCACAGGTGCATTCAAAAGCATGAAAGCTGCCGTTCCTTTCCATGATGTTCCTTTCCTTTCCATTATATATGTGTCCGTCAGGGCTTAAGAAGGGTGCCTCTTTTGTGCAAGCTTCAAGCAGTTTTCTTAATATGGTGTCTGGTATGTTCAGATTGGTGCTAGTCAGATCTCAATCTTAAGTCCTGATGGACACATGTATAAGCAAGTGGACAGCGTTGCCATGGGCTCCCTGCTGGGTGTCTTGTTCATAAACTTTTACATGGGTACTATTGAGCAGAGAGTTTTGGTCTGGGTTAGACCTAAAACCCGCCATCTACTGCAAGTATGTCGACAACATGTTTATACAAGTCCCGGATACCGAATGACTGTTGCAGTTGAAGGAAGCTTTCAAGCAAAACTCAGTTTTAAACTTCACTTATGAGATGGAGAGGGGGGGTAAGCTGCCCTTCTTAGATGTAGCTGTCATGGAAAGCAACGGCAGCTTTCATCATGCAGTATATACAGTACTAAGGAGGCAAACATAGTGATGTGCCTTAACGCTGACAGCGACTGCCTGGAAAGATACAGATGGAGTGTTGTGAATGCTTACGTCGGCCGAGCTCTCACTCATAGCTCTGGGTGGAAGCAGGTGGATGAGGAGTTATGTAGAATAAGGCAGATTTTGTTAGGTGAGACCTTACGAATGTGAGGTGAGACCTTACGAAAGGCATCACTAGGCGTCAAACCCAACTAATAGGTAAAAATGAATTTTGGAGACTTAATTTTTAATCTTCCTGCTTCAGTGAAGAATGGCATAAGGAATATCAGGAAGATTCATGCCAGAATCATAAATCTAAAACTTTGTCGTTTTTAACGAAAAATGTTTAAAAGAAACGCTGCTACCAAAATATACTAATATATATATATATATATATACTGTATATATATATATATTTTGGTAGCAGTCTTTCCTGTAGACATATATTATTAAATATGACCGAAAAAGTAAGATTAATAATTCTTATTATTAATCTTACTTTTTCGGTCATATTATAATATATATATATATATATATATATATATATATATATATATATATATATATATATATATATATATATATATATATATATGTCGTACCTAGTAGCCAGAACGCACTTCTCAGCCTACTATGCAAGGCCCGATTTGCTTAATAAGCCAAGTTTTCCTGAATTAATATATTTTCTCTAATTTTTTTCCTTTGAAATGATAAAGCTACCCAATTCACTATGTATGAGGTCAATTATTTTTTATTGTAATTAAAATTAACGTAGATATATGACCGAACCTAACCAACCCTACCTAACCTAGCCTAACCTATCCTTATAGGTTAGGTTAGGTTAGGTAGCCAAAAAAGTTAGGTTAGGTTAGGTTAGGTAGGTTAGGTAGTCAAAAAACAATTAATTCAAGAAAACTTGGCTTATTAAGCAAATCGGGCCTTGAATAGTAGGCTGAGAAGTGCGTTCTGGCTACTAGGTACGACATATATATATATATATATATATATATATATATATATATATATATATATATATATATATATATATATATATATATATATATATATATATATATATATATGTCGTACCTAGTAGCCAGAACGCACTTCTCAGCCTACTATGCAAGGCCCGATTTGCCTAATAGGCAAAGTTTTCACGAATTAATTGCTTTTCGACTACCTAACCTACCTAACCTAACCTAACCTAGATTTTTCGGCTACCTAACCTAACCTAACCTATAAAGATAGGTTAGGTTAGGTTAGGTAGGGTTGGTTAGGTTCGGTCAAATATCTACGTTAATTTTAACTCCAATAAAAAAAAATTGACCTCATATATAATGAAATGGGCAACTTTATCATTACATAAGAAAAAAATAAGAGAAAATATATTAATTCAAGAAAACTTGGCCTATTAGGCAAATCGGGCCTTGCATAGTAGGCTGAGAAGTGCATTCTGGCTACTAGGTACGACATATATATATATATATATATATATATATATATATATATATATATATATATATATATATATATATATATATATATATATATATATATATATATATATATACAGTATATGTGTATGTAGGTATGTATGTATATATATATGTATATATTTAATGCCCTCCTCTTTTTCTCAATCCAGCCAGGTCCAATGCCTGGGGTACGTCCGCCCATGGGTGGTGCTGGGGGCATTATTCCTCCGCCCCAGGGCAAGGGGTCTGGGGCAATGGGTATCATCATGCCTCTCTACACTGTGGGCATTGTTGTCTTCTTTGTCTACACCATAATGAAGGTTAGTGAGACAATAGTAGTTTTCAAAGATCATTTCTGTTGTATTTATTAACTAGATAGCTTTCTTTTTAATTATGGGACCTAACAGATATTTTTAATTTGTTTATTTCTCTTCCTTTAACAATAATAATAATAATATTAATATTTTATTCATGAAATATGGAAACAAAATCATAATTCAGTGATACATTTGAAGATACAAAGATTGAATATTAAATAAAGCTGCTAATATGCAAAACATTTCAGACAAAACTTTGAATAATTCAACTAAAATTGTTATAGGTCTAAGGGGGGGTAAACATTTAATAGTAAACAAGAAGTAGGCTAACACATGTGAGATATTATAGAAATTATTAAATCATAAACAGTATAAAGGTGATACTGAATAATGATAGGCATGGACTACTATGGATCTATTGATTCAAAAGTTTACCGTTTATTTTTCTCCGTTAATATATTATTTGTCTCCCTGTTTCTTGTTAATTAGCATTTTTTAGATCCTCTTTACTCAAGAGACCCCCCCACTTATGATCTCTTAATTAATTAATGTAATATCTTGCTAAGTTAAGAGTCTCTTCACTGTAATATCTTGCTAAAAGTCTTTTTACTGTAATATCTTGCTAAAAGTTTTGTCACTGTAATATCTTGCTAAAGTCTCGTCACTGTAATATCTTGCTAAAAGTCTCATCACTGTAACATCTTGCTAAAAGTCTTATCACTGTAATATCTTGTTAAAAGTCTCATTACTGTACTGTAATATCTTGCTAAAAGTCTCTTCACTGTAATATCTTGCTAAAAGTTTTGTCACTGTATTATCTTGCTAAAGTCTCGTCACTGTAATATCTTGCTAAAAGTCTCATCACTGTAATATCTTGTTAAAAGTCTCATTACTGTACTGTAATATCTTGCTAAAAGTCTCAGCACTGTAATATCTTGCTAAAAGTCTCGTCACTGTAATATCTTGCTAAAAAGTCTCGTCACTGTAATATCTTGCTAAAATTCTCTTCACTGTAATATATTGCTTAGTTAAGATCTCTTTTCTTTCGACAAAGTCTGTACGTACTCTTACTTTACACATGAAACTGGCATTCTGTCTATATGTTTTTCATTCTAAAAAAAATATATTATTTAAAAAGAGCATATTTTTATGCGAACTTAACACAAACATATAGCACACAACTGTTATGCCTTCATCATAATTCAGTGTAGTGCTGAGCATCTTTCACTGTCGTCTCATCATCATACTTCAGTGTAGACATTTAGAGCATCTTTCACTGTTGTGCCATCATCATACTTCAGTGAATGCTGCATATCTCTCACTGTCGTGCCATCATCTTTCTTTAGTGTAAACATGCTGAGGATCTCTCATGATTCTGTAACTGTGTCTCTTCTTCATATTTCTATGTGTAGGTGTTGTTCAAGAAGGGTCAGGAGGATGACAAGACACCCAAGCTGAAGGACTTCGGTTTGGACCCCGAATATCGAAAGTACGTCTTTGCTGAGGAATACCTGGACAATGCTGATGTGTCCACGAAGGATCAGTTTAGAAGACAGCAGCGGGAAGAGTCACGTTCACGGAGGAAGTACCAGCCAGACCAACAGGCAGAGGCTAAAATTGGTAAGTGGAATTGCTTTGGTTCAAATATTAAAATTTTCCTGTACCTGTAGAAAGAAGAGGTTTAAGGTGTAAATTACAGTATGATGAGGAGTAATGAAGATTTAATTGGAAAATGATTGCAGCACAGCCACAATATACAGTAATCAGCACAGGTAACCTTGATGTGTAGGTTCATAATGGCTGTATACTATATTTCAGTCAAAGAATTACAGTTGTTAAGATATTCGCAAACATTATAGTAAAATAAATTATAATACTGCATTGATATTTAATAAATAAACTAAAGAACTATGAACACTGTAAGAGAATAGTTGTCCTCGATATTTAGGTTCAAATTTTGAGTCAAAAATTAAAATTGTATTAAAGCGAATGTATTCATTTGAACTCACACATTTAGATAAATTGAATTTAAGTGATGTAACACTGAGCATTATGTTAAGGTAGAACTTGACTGTGGTGATAAATCCCAATATTAAAGGTGCCTCATGGAACAGAAAAATTCATCTGTTGATAAGGTATACAAATTTAACTTCGTTTGTGTACAAGTATGACTGATTTTGTGTATAATATCTTTGACAGAGATTACAATGGATGTGTGTATATAGACCTACAATACTTAACTTAGACCTACAACATATATCTTAGCACCTTTCATAAATTTACAAATTGAACAGCTCACATCCAAGATGCTGAAAGTTAAGAGTATATTAGTGTTTTTTTTTTATGTGGTACAATAAACTGTTCAAGATGAATGTTATACTCTGCCTTATGTAGTTTCTAAGTGAAATATCGTTCATTTCATTGGTCATCGTGTTATTAGTGTGCCTTTAAGTAACAGGAGCTCTGCTATTTAAAGTGCCTTTTCATTTCACACATCAAAGAGCCTATTTTATATGTTGTAACGTTTGTGGAAATTACACACAAAAATTATAATACATCCCCAGGTCCCAAAATCAATTCAATACATCATAAAATGCCTCCCTTATCTATCCATATCTCAACTATGGTATTTGTGCTTGGGGCTCTACTACCCAAAATCACTTACGTCCTCTAATTACTCAACACAAAGCTGCTATTAGGACAATATCCAATTCTGGCCCCAGACATCACTCGGTACCCCTACTCAAATCTCTGAATATGTTAGACATTAAGTCACTGCACATTCTCTCATGTGTATTATACATATATAAGACGCTAAACTATAATGCCAATCCTGATCTCAAAAGCTTCATAGAAGGTTGTAACAGAACCCATGAGCACCACACCAGAAATAAATACAGTTTTGATATTCCTAGAGTACGACTTAATCAAACTAGAAATGCTCTACAAATCAAGGGGCCCAGAATGTGGAATGACCTTCCCAACCATGTTAAAGACTGTACCTCTCTCAACCAGTTTAAGTTAAAAACGAAGCTATACCTAATAAATTCCCTGTAACCTACCTTACCCCTCTATTGTCAACCCATGTATGTTTTTTGTTTTTTCTTGTTTTTCAAATCAACGCTGTTTGAATGTAATTTTCTGTAATAATTTGTAATTGTATTTGTGCTGCTTTTTCAACAATGTTCCCCCCCTCTTTTACCTCTATTTTTATTTGTACTCAACACATTTTGTTCTTTTTACCCATTAGTTTTAAGCTTTAGTCATTAGTGTTTTTTCCTGCCCGAAACGCTTTGCGTAATAGTGGCTTTAGGCATTGTATGTACTAGCTCTATCTATAAAGCCAACAAACTTTGTAAAATCTCTTTATGTATGTACCTTTACCTAAATAAATATTATTATTATTATTATTATTATTATTATTATTATTATTATTATTATTATTATTATTATTATTATTATTATTATTATTATTATTATAGTTACTGATTATAGTTTGTGGAGTTTGTATATTGTATTATCAAGGGGTGGTTGAACCATAAATTTAATGTACTAAAATATACTCTGTGGACAGAGTATTATTGCATTTTAGCAGCATGGCTAGTGTTGCTTCTCTCCTCTCACTAACATGTCACTGTTAATTCTGCTGCTCAAGCTGGTAAAGGATGGAAATCTCAGAACAAGATGGACACAAAGGGCAAGAAACTGGGTAGGTTCTCTGGCAATATTTTCCCAGAGTTGTTTCCTTCGTACATCACTGTGAGCTGCTCCATTCACTCCTGTACTGTTCACTGTTCACACATATAATTTGATGTATAATTAAATCGATAATGATAAATTTTAAAACAGTTTTTTATATTTGTAAATATATAGTAATCCATTTAATATATGGCAGTACAAAAATATAATATGAATCTTAAATAAAGCTGTCAACTGTAATCAGTAAATTAAATTTAACAGGCAATTAATTGCTATAAATAAAAGAACTATACTAAATACTAGTACGGGATTGATAATCGCTTGATAAATCCCCTTATCTTAGAATCTGTAGAGCTTACCTGAGTGTGTTTTAATGATTCCTAATACAAAGGTATACAAAATATGTGCTAATTGTATACAGACAGTATACATTTACATAATGTATTCTAATTCAAATATGGCTATGACCTAAATGTGCAATATAAAATGAATAGCACATTTAATATAAAATATATTTCCCTGTTGCTTTCCTTATAATATTACTTTACTGCTTTTGTTTCTTTTTTTTTATCACTTGTATACTGTCCTGCATCACATCAAATATAGCATTCTCTGTCTATTTCTCCAAAAGTCCTTTCTCACAACAGTACTTACAACAGAAGCTCCAGGGCACAGAGTAGACATGGAACAAGACATAGAAAAACACTAGGTGCAGAGACGAGACCTCGTGTTATTCAACTTGTCATTGAACAGGAATAGCAGAGACTGGGTACACAGTAGGTCTGATGTGGCCTACTATATACCCATTCCTGTTTCTGCTAAAGATGCTGCACTGGAAAAACATTTAAAAAATTTAGGATCTTCTTTTCACATTATATTTTCTTTGTAATGTATGTGGATTTGGGTGACAACATTCAAAGAGATTACTGGTTTTTTATGTTTATTTAATATAGTTTTGGTTACAGCAGTCGGTTGTTAGAAATGTAATGACATGTCGTGATAGTTGAGACGAGGTCTAGAGCAGAGAGCTTATGCGAGGCAGGTGGTAGAGAGCTCAAATATGGCACGAGAGCGGATAGCTCGAATATACACCGAATCTGGCTGAGGCTGTAGCATCTTGTGAGAGTAGGAACTAGACTCATTGGGTGTTACAGTATTGCTGGTGAATGTCAATGGTGTTAAAAGAAGATCCAAAGTGTATACAGGGCATTTGTCACTGAACCACTACTGGAGTTGGACTAGTTCTGCTCCATTCTTGGTGGTTTATATTCAACGCTTCTCCTGACTTGTCAAGTTGATCATCATCTTGCTGGTGTGTAGGAGAGTGACCTAAGTATCAGGTGCACATGGGCACCACTTGGTACCCCATCTAGTAATGTCCATTATCTCCATAAATGATCTACCAGGAGTAATACAGAATTATATTAGCATGTTTGCTGATGATGCTAAAATACTAGAGAAGATGAGAAACTTAGACGATTGTCATGCCCTTCAAGAAGACCTAGACAAAAGTGTGTGGAGCAAGACTTGGCAAATGAAATTTATTGTGAATAAATGGCACATTATGGTATGTGGAATAGGAGAAAATAACCCACACTCAACCTACAAATTATGTGATAAAGCTTTAAAGAATTCTGATAAAGAAAGAGATCTAGAGGTGGTTGTGGATTAAAAAACTGTCACCTGAGGATCACATAAAGAACATTATGCAAGGAGCGTATGTTACACTTTCCAACTTTAAAATCACATTAGAATCACTTTAGAATCAAAGTGGATGGCTAAATATTAAAGAAATTATTCATGATCTTTGGGAAAAAAAGTTGGAATATGCAGCAGTTGTATGGTGCCCATATCTCAAGAAGCACATCATTAAACTAGAAAAGGTGCAAAGACTTGCAACTAAATGGCTTCCAGAACTGACTTCTAGCAAGAACTATGAGGAGAGGTTAGTGGTGTTAAATATACCAAAGCTAGAAAATAGAAAAAAAGAGGGAATATGATCACTACGTACAAAATAGTAACTTAATTGACAAAATTTACAAAGAAAAATGCAACTTCATTAAAACTGTTAAAACTGCAACTTCAAAAACAAGAGACCCAAAGGTTCAAACTAAGGAAACAAAGCTGCCAAAAAAATATGAGAAAGCTTACTTATGCAGAGGGAAAGATGGTTAGATCAAGTTAAGTGAGAAGGTGGTGGATGCCAAAGTCGTCAGTAGTTTCAACACGTTATATGACAAAGAGTACAGTACTGGGAAGATGGGACACCATGAGTGTAGCTCTCATCCTGTAACTTCATTTGGGTAATTACACTTAGATAATTATAATATATATTTATTTACCAGATTTCTGGCATATATGTAGAAGTGATTTAAACTTCTGACATTGTCTTATGGGGCTGAGAGATTCCTTATGCATTCTGCACACTATTGTTTTGTACATTGTTACTTTGATTATGTGCCTGCTTTTCATCAGAAATATGTAGGGTTAGTTCTGTCTGACTGGGTGAAGTACTAGGTCCTCTCCTCCATCCACTGTCAACCACTTGGGCTGGACGGTAGAGCGGCGGTCTCGCTTCATGCAGCTCGGCGTTCAATTCCCGACCATCCAAGTGGTTGGGCACCATTCCTTTCCCCCCCCCTCCCCGTCCCATCCCAAATTCTTATCCTGACCCCTTCCAAGTGCTATATAGTTGTAATAGCTTGGCACTTTCCCCTGATAGTTCCCTTTCCTTCCACCAGCAGCTCCATCCACTGTCCTATTACCTCTGCCCTCACTTTATCTTCTTTAACTTTGAACCACTGTATTGGTTTGTGTTTCTTAACTCCTATGTGCTTCCTCTTCTTTGGATTTCTTTCTAGTGCCTTACCTGAAGTGTTATTAGCAGTGCCAGCAACATATCAAAATAGTTGGTAAATAATCATAGATAAAAGCCACTGGCAGTGTAGGGAGTGTACAATAATTACAACAAATTTCTCTAAAATGAGCATATGCCAACTAAATGGCATTCCATTTCTGCCCATGACATGGCATGTCATAGTGTTTTTGCCTGAAATGTTATGCGTGTTAGTGGCTTTGCAAGAATATAAGAACACCATTGTTATGTACTCTTACAGACTCAATGGTCTTTCTTGTAAATAAATAAATAAATAAATAAATAAATAAATAAATAAATAAATAAATAAATAAATAAATAAGATAAATAATAAACATAGATACAATGTGATCTCCATGGGAGATTCATGTATCAGTGAGAAGACAGTTGCAAAGTTAGGTTTCTCATAGAGAAATCATGTCAGAATATATCAGATATCTGGAGGTTGGATTATCATACTTTTCTGTGTTTTGTTAATACATTTTATCCTTTTATAATTTTTAAAAGCACATGTTCAACATACCTAATATATTTCTTTGACGCTGTATTATACTTTCTATCATGAATCTTATTACAGTTAGCTTACCAGTTTGTCTTGCCACACCTTATTACTTGTTAGACTTCCTTTGAGAAAGTTGACTTTTCTTTTAATATTTATTGATTGTCTATCAGACTGAGAGTCTTTAATTATCATTTATCTTTATTCATAATCACTGATAATCATTTCCTCAATTGCTGGACACTATACCAGTATTTCATCCTTCATTTATCTTTCTAAATGAAGTGTACGTGCACCTAACATCACGTTATTCATTATTTTGTAGTTATCTTCTATACTAATAGGAATTTATTGTTTCTAGTATAAAATATGCAAAAATGTTAATTTCCTGTACTGTATTTGTATGCAGACAATGTTACAATATTTGGTTGATAATAACTTTGCTTTACTGTTCATACATTTCTAAAGTGCATATATTGCTAAGGAATATACTGACTTAGGAAAAGTCCAAAGAATAAACAAAGTTTTATTCTAAAGCTATAATTTTTTGTTAGTGACAGTCTTGTAATACAGTACTGTATACAGTACAGTAATTGGAAAAATATTGAAGATTGTTAAGGTAAATTGTATTTTTTGTTTAAATATATATCATTGCTATTTTGTTTTCCCATGCTATAGGTGAGTGGTATCTACCAGAGGGTTTTTTAAGCCAAATAGATGATGAATCAGATGATGAAGCTATTAATGTATTAATTGGAGGTACTACAGTTGATGAATCGGCCCGGGAGACTTATCGTGATCGATTAATAGAGGGTTTGTACATGAACACTCAACAACAATGTAAACGCAAGAGCAAAAGTCAATTACAGAATCAAAGGTTAAAAACAAAGGAGAAATCTCAATGTAGAAGTTGTCATGGACTAGCCCTAAAGAAGTGGGTATGCAATGAGCCAATGCTTAAACGTTCCTTCACAGAAGAAGACATAAATTATATGTACAGTAATCAATTTTTTCAAGAGTTAAGGAATGTATTAGAAATATATGATACAAAGAGCAGTTTGAATGGTGAAGGACTTGAAGAACTCTGCTTGGTGGCTAGAGACCACCTCTGTAATACACAACATGCACCAGAGCTCAGTGGTCATCAGCATCCTTCCCAGGAAAAAGTACAGTGTTGTCATGATGATTTAAGGATAGATAGCCCTACACAACCCTTGTGTGGAAAGAGATTAATGATAAACAAAAGACGTTCAGAACAGACAATAAGTAGGCCTTGCAGCTCTCGGTCAGAATCCCTTGAGAAGAGCATGGACTATAATACAGAGGAAAAAATAAATGTTAACACATCTGTGTGTAGTAGTCATGGAGAGGCTCATACTGCACTTACAGGTGGAAACAATGAAAATGAGAAAGGTGAATTTTTAGATGTCTTATTGCTTACAATTGGAATTTATTTTGGGTAACTTATGCTAGGGAGAGGATGCTTAGAGCAAATGTTTCGCTTCAAGTAACTAAAATTAATATTGATGAGATTACTGTACAGCACATGAAGTACATCAGTACTGTTTAATTTTCTATTATGTATTGTCACTTGGTCTTGTAGATTCAAGCTTCCATCATACCTATATTTAGATAT